GGATCGCAGACGACAGGATCGCAGACGACAGGATCGCAGACGACAGGATCGCAGACGACAGGATCGCAGACGACAGGGCCACAGACGACCGGTGCAAGCAACACCCGCAGTGACGCTAGGACGACTACCAGTCACTCAGACAGAAGCGAATCCGATCGCAGCACCACGGCCACCAGGTCGAGAACACAGTCCGGCGACAGCACCTTCTCTGCGACGGACTCGACCAGGGTGACGGCCCCCAGCGGCGGAACGACCAGCGGCGCGACCCGATCCGCCACCTCCACCTTCACCTTTACGCATAGCGCCTCCACAGGGACGGACGCGTCGACGGAGACCGGGGGCAGCGAGACGATCAGCGCGACCGGTGGCGAGAGCACTGCAAGTGCTACCGGCACCACCGCCGGAGGTCCGTACTCAGGAACGGATACCACGCAGACTGCAACCGACTCTGCCGGAGCAACACCCACCGAGAATGGGGAGGCGCCTCTCGCCACTGGTGCTGCGATGACCCTGAAGGTGCCGTCGCATTGGAGTGCATTGGCGTCGATTATTGCATTGATTGCTCTCCTAGTCTAGAGGCCAGGATGCTTGGGTTTCATTTCGGATATTAACCGGTATTTCTTTTTTTCATTATTATGGTTATGCATAATGTTGTATTGTTAATCATACGACGTCCCCTCCTTTAATATTTATATCGATGGAGAGGAAACGAGCTACGAGTAATGCGGGATGCGCGGTTTACGTAGGTTATCTACGAGTTTAATTTTATATCATCTCAGTGTGATCGGACTATTGTAATAGAGTGCTAGACAATTAATTATCGTTGCTTTTTTTTCTTCTTTTTTCTTCTTCTTTTCTTTCTCCACCCACCCCTCTTTCTATCTTCCCTGTCGGCGCAATATCTGCCTGAATGAGCAGAGCGCAGAATCCGGCCAGCATCCATGCCATGCGAATTCTACGCCCGTCAGGGTTTCGCCGTGGGTGTAGATCGACGAGCCGAGGGGATACGAGGGATATCTCGGCCTGAACACAAACGGTCTACGATTGGTAGAAAAGCGCTCATTGCGTGCATCAAGCTGCAGATGGGGCATCTTGGCCACGCCGGACTTCCCGTGGCATCGAGGGAAAGGCCGACTATACTGGTTGGGGAAGGATTCGAGCTGCTGCATGTTGGTCTCGATTGGTAATCCCTGCTATGGTTCATTGCACGCTAACTAATCGGATACTCCGCGCCCATGCGGGCAGTCATCTACACGGTATGTATTCTCATCACCCCTATTTTGTGGTGAGTCCCAGCTTGGCCTTCAACGCGTCCGCCGTCACTTTGGCGTCGTAAATGTAGTTGACGCTCCCCTGCTGCACCGTGGCCCGAGCCCATTGCTTGAATTTGGGCGTCCGATCCAGCTGCTCCGGCAGCTTTGCGCTCAGCAGTCCGATCTCCGAGTCCGAGAAGGACAGGTATCGCAGTAGGAACGAGCCCGTCAGCACCTCCGCCAACGTCAACCGGTCGCTGCCGCCAAAGAAGGGACCGCTGCCCGTCCATTCGGCAAATAGCGGCTCCAGGTCCTTCTCCACGGCGGCTACGAGCGCCTCGCTGGCCGCCTCTCGCTCCTCCGTGTTGGCGGCGCGGGTGCTAGCGTTGAAATGGGGCTGTACTTTGTTGAAGAAGGTGTCCACGAAGAAGGCGATGCGGGCACGTTGCAGGGCGCCTTCGACGCTGTTGGAGGGGGCTACGAGGTGCGACGGATGGGCGTCGGCCAAGAACTGCGACACGATCGCAGATTCGACAATGATGGTGCCATTATAGGAGAGAGAAGGAACGAGGCCGCGCTGCCGGAAAGCCTTTGTTTAGCCGGACGTTCGGCAAGTCCAATCTTGGGGATGGGAGTACCTACCGGGTTCACCTCGAGATACCAGGGCTCGCGGGGCTTGGTCAGGTCGATAATGACCTCCTCGAACTCCAGTCCAAGTTCCTTGAGCGCGATGTGCGCCCGGTATGCCCAAGGGCATCGGTGGTTGGTATAGAGAATGATCTTTGGAGCCGCCATTATTGTTTCCGAAGTCTTGAGATGGATGATGCGTGAGGTCGAGTGACTCGAGTTTCAAGTGACGGGAAATGCTGATTTATAAGGACAGATGATGTGCAGCAGTCCAGCGATGACGAGCTCTCTCTCCGCATAGTTAACTGGACCTGCTGAATTATTAATCCATCGTATGCCCCGCACGGACGACGGACGATGAAGTCTGGAGATGGAGACGGGATTCATGCAAAACGCGAGAGACATGGAATGTCGAATGAATTTCACCAGTGGTCCGAATCATGAATCAGTTGTGACCTTGTAATATATCAGATGCTTTCGTCTTTCTTTTCTTTCTGTGTTTTGGTTTCTTCGGGCTCAGTGTTTTCCCATCTTCATACCGGAAGTATATAGTCTCCACAGGCCGGAACTCTCCCGGAATCAAAGCCGCTCTTTAAACAATGACATCAGGTACCAGACGAGACAAGAATAAAGCATATACCGAACTGTTGCCATGTCAACCTTGTCCCACTCGCCCGGGTCTCCTGTCAAAGAGCTACAGAGGCTCCTTGAACCCAAAGGAGCGGTTAACATTTATCTATCGACAACCCCGGAGAGTACAGAACGCAGGCGCTGCATGCCAGCTCATCGTGCAGCGGAGATCGAGGATCGCGGGGTCTCTTAATGATCCCCAATCATTCCCATCATCGCCGTCAGCGCCTCTTTCTCTTACACCATAGTTCCTTGCGGAATTCAGCAGCCTCAGTCATGGAGAAGTACCGATTCCCCACCAGCCCCAAGGCGAACCCGCAGGCTATCATCGAGGGCCCGAATTATCGGTTCACCGTCCTGACTGATCGGTTGATTCGATACGAGTGGGCGGAAGATGGTAGGTTCGAGGACCGCGCCTCGACGTTTGCCGTCTGTCGCGACCTGCCGCTGCCCGAATTCCGGACCGTCGACGATGCGTCGGGGCTAGAGATCATCACCAAACACGTCCAGCTCAGCTACGATAAGCAGCGGTTCAGTCCCGCTGGCCTGGTGGCCCTCCTCTCAGCTCGCACCACCAAGTACGGCACCGCGTGGCGGTTCGGCACTTCGTCGCCTCTCAACCTGGGCGGCACTGCCCGGACGCTGGACCTGTGTGACGGACGATGCGATATGGGCGAGGGCGTGCTGTCCAAGGCCGGATTTGCCGCCGTCGACGACTCCGACTCCATGCTCTTCGACGGCAACGGTTTCGTGGCGGCGCGACCGGTGGGAGACCGAGTCGATGGCTATCTGTTCGCTTACGGACGCGACTATAAAGCGGCCATCGGCGCCTTCCACGCGGTGTCCGGACGCCAGCCGATCATTCCGCGATATGCCCTGGGAAACTGGTGGAGCCGATATTATCCCTATCGGCAGGATGAGTTCCTGCAACTCATGGACCAGTTTCGCGCCCGCGACATTCCCCTGACCGTGGCGGTGCTGGACATGGAGTGGCACCTGGTCTCCGACAAGCGAGTGCCACATGCAGGCTGGACGGGGTACACCTGGAATAGCGATCTCTTCCCCAATCCAACGGGGTTCGGTCAAGAGGTTCGCCGCAGAGACCTGAAGATGACGCTGTGTGACCATCCGCACAGTGGCATTCACCATCACGAGGACTCCTACGAGGAGATGGCGCGCTTCCTCGGCCACGACACCACCGACAAGAACCCCATCCTCTTCGACCCAACCAACCCAAAGTTTATGGATGCTTACCTCAACATTCTGCATCGCAACCTGGAGTCGGAATGCGACTTCTGGTGGATCGACTGGCAGCAAGGCCCCTTCTCCAAGGTCCCCGGCATCGACCCGCTGTGGATGCTGAACCACTTCCACTATCTGGACCACGGACGCGACGGAAAGAGGCCGCTCATTCTCTCTCGCTACGCCGGACCCGGTAGTCATCGATATCCCATTGGCTTTTCCGGAGACACGTTCGTGACCTGGGCGTCCCTCGAATTCCAACCTGAATTCACGGCGACGGCGTCGAATATCGGGTACGGATGGTGGAGTCACGATATCGGCGGTCATATTCATGGCGGTCGCGATGACGAACTTGTCACGCGATGGCTGCAACTCGGGGTTTTCTCCCCGATTCTGCGCCTGCATTCCACCTCGTCCCGTTGGATGTCTAAGGAGCCGTGGTTGTATCGCCCGGAATGCGCGTCAACTATGTCCGACTTCCTACGCCTAAGACACCGACTGGTGCCTTTCTTGTACACGCAAAATGTGCTGGGATCGGCGGCAAACGAGCCTCTGGTGCAGCCCATCTACTGGGAGTATCCCTACCGCGAAGAGGCGTACTCCGTTCCCAACGAGTACTTCTTCGCCTCCTCGCTCGTGGTAGTCCCTGTCGTCCAGCCCCGAGATACGCGAACGAACCTCGCCTCGGCCCAGTCGTGGCTGCCGCCTCATCGTCGCCTCGTCGACATCTTCACCGGGACCGTGTATGACGGAGATCGGAGCCTCATCTTATATAGGCGCCTCGACGAGTATCCCGTTTTGGTACCGGAAGGGTCAATCATCCCTCTTGACGGGGAGGCCTCCCCCCGGAATGGGTGCTTACGCCCGGAGAAGTTTGAAGTGATTGTTGCCGTTGGCCGAGATGGACAAGCAACAGTCTTGGAAGATAATCAAGCCGGGGAACCAGAACAAATGGTTGCGGAAATCAATTTCGCGCAAGCCTCTGGAAAGCTCAAGGCCCGCGTCTCCGGTCGATCCTGGGCCTTCCGTTTTCTTGCAATCGCCTCGATTCCAAACGACGTTCAAGTCTTGGTAGACGGGGCTGACCGGACTGCGGACGCTGGGATAACCGTCGCACAGCATCCAGAGACACCGGGGCTGCTGGTGCAGTGCCCGTCCATTTCGCAAGACACCCACGAGATCCTCATTTTCCTCGGTCGCGACCCCCAGTTAAGCGTAATTGACCACACGCTCCGACTGGAAGGCTTGATCCGAGATTATCAGATTGAATTTGCCATGAAAGATCGGCTGTGGGACGTCGTGGCCGGCTCTGCTCATCACCCGCTTAATGTGACGATGGGGAAAATGATGGCTTTGGGCTATGACGAGGCCATCGTTGGGCCCGTCGCAGAGTTGTTACTGGCCGATAGTCGCTCGTAGCATTGAGACCCCCTGGACTTCGGTGGAGCTTCCTGGGGATTCACAACTGGCCTGTATGACAGGAATGTCCTTTCAATACAACGAAGAAATCAGCTCAGATTGCCCTGGGCTAAGCGGGGACTGAGGCTCGTGGCTATTCTTAGTAGTGATATCAATTTGAATTAAGGTCCTGGCAGTCAGGATCCGATCAGAACCCTGTGTAATCTCGGAGTGAAGCTTTTCAGCAGAATTAAGGATAGCCAGGTCCGTCGGGAGTGCCTGAGGCCTGACCGCTGGTGCCCTAATTAAGGGGGGCATCGATGAACCCAAAATCTAAACCGAACACTGAATGGTCAAACCTTTCTTCCTCGTTCTATGATTTTTGGTCCCATCCCGGTCGATCCTCGGTGCACTTGCTTGAATTCATCCAAGTCTCGGCTGGCTCTTACTGAACAGTTCTGTTCCGCTCAACCGCAAATGAATTGTATTCGGACGGAGCCATATCCGTGGCTGGTCTTCTAGGTATGCGACTAATAGATAAATTAGGGCCGTAGCTACTATCATCATGGCAGCTGTCGACCATCTCACCACATTATATGATAAATCCCTAGCCTGAGCTGTCAATTGGTCGAGGAAGTTAACCAAAAAAGTGATAGCTCAGTCATCCAGAGATATCTGGCAGCAGAACATCATCACGTCCATTAGCTGCTCTGTAATAGCGACAGACCTTTAGATTTGACAACGCCTCCAAACACACCGGTCCATGGCATGCGCATCCACGGGATCTGAAAAACCATCAGGCTGATTCAATGCCATATCCTGGAACACCAATACCTTTTGCATGTATTCTTCCCAGTGCTATGGATAAAGTTCTTTGTTCATGCTTGTTGGGGACCCCTTGCGAATACCTGCCGCGTTATGAAACAATCCCAGTCCTGTATCGATTAAACTCTCTGTCCACAATGGCTCCAGCGTTAGAGTGAAAGATGGAGGTTTGAAGGGATAACGAATCGAAGTAACTGTCAATTACAATATAGTTAGTGCTAGAGAAAGGAAGGCTAAGTTTAATGGGTGACTCACGTGAAATTTGAGGCCTCGTTCTCGGACAAGGATGGCTCGTTGAAGATAGCCAATCGTTCACCAAACCCCAGATGATCCGAGATGGGCTCTACCTGGGGCATGAAAACCGTTTCGTCTATTCTGAACGCCTCGTCGAATCTATTCAGCTGTACCTGTGTGTCATGTTTCGTTTGTAACTCGACATCCTCCGTCTCTTCTGCTATTCCTTCTGGTCGCCCGCTCAACTCATCTAATTTCCAGATTGTTCCGAACCAGGGTATATTTGACTAATGGATCCGTCGTGGTCTACCTGTACGCGAAGGCACACTGAACAAGCATCCTTTTCCTGTTTTATGACACCGGCGACAAGTGCTTGCATTGTACGAAAGTTGCACACAGCGCAGCTTTTCGCTATGACAACGATAAAACGCCTATCCACGCCTGTCGTCTTCGTGGTTTTTGATGAGCAAGCATGTTAGGTTTATATGGTGTAATTTTCTTCCAGCCAAAATACCGGAGCATTACAACAAAGTAGTCTTCACAGAGCAGCTTATAGATTAGTGGGTTCCTGTCTTCATTACTTTTTTCGCAATTACTTTCCCTCCGAGCTTTCCAGCACATTCCACTCTGTCCCTACTCTTTGCTAGGGTTCCCCAGACTTACCCGTGCTAATCCACTCATTTCGTGTGGGCTTGCAGAGTATGCACTACTAGAATAGCCCTTCGCTAAAGAGGATGATCCTTTCTAGTGCAGTGAAAAATTCGACATATACCAACCAGATCATATGTGATCCATTGGGGCTGTTGGTGCAATCCCACATGGTCCCATCATTCGGCACATTCGAGAGCTTGACAAGGCTTACTTTTACCACCAGATCCTCTCAGATCCTGAGGGAAGGGACTTTTTGTCTCCAATATATCATCCGATCGTTGGGTTTAACTTATTAGCCGACTCCAATGTGAGCTTACCAACAATCCTCCATTGCGTGAAATAATAAGGAATAGTCCTATCATAAAGTCACAGGAAAAAGCTTCCTAGAGCTGAATCCCACGATGGGGCCACCAATCGGGGGCATTGCGTAGGAACCAGGCATCAAAATTTCATCAAACGTGTCTGTTGCTCAAGAGAAGTGACATCGGAAAGATAAGAAACATCGGAAAAGACACACGTAAGATCATGTCAACCTAGGGCTGTACATGCATCGAATAAAAGCCACATAAATGAGAGGTCTATTGGTATTTTCCGCCCCCAACACAACGAAATATCAAAGAAGTCGGATGAGTTGCTGCTATAGGGCGTAACATAGACAACAGAAATATCGGGTCGTATCGTGGGACCTCTGGCTCCGGTCGATCTGCTTACTTCTGCTCGACTAGCTGCAATGCAACGCCAGCCCCTGTTCCCGCACGGATACTGCGGGGGGGGGGAACCAGAACTCCTCGACTGTCTTTCGATCTGACGGGGAGGCTTTACCGAGTCGGTTACCATGGATTATGTTGTCTATCTGACTGTAGCAATGGCGCCGACACAAAGGCATATGTTGATTGGATTAACCGCCCATTTCGCCGTATGATGTGGTCCCATCTCGCGAAGGCTGACTTTGCCCGCGAGGTGACCTATCATGGAGCATGAGACTGCATGCCCAGAGGCACCATGCTCAAAAGTCCTCTGACAGCGAACCAAGCCGTACAGTCGAGAGGGGTGATCTTTGAAGCGATGGAGTCACCTCCCTAGGTCGAAGACCTTCTAGATTGACTCCATCGGCTGTCATGGCCAACCAGGCGATGCGCTGATAGTGACAAGGATATCTTTCACTTTGCACTGGTCTTGATTTAGACGAAGATGGGGCGCCCGATTTTCGGTCTGCCCGATGGCAAGGCTGACAAGAGGAGTGACCCGTGTCCTGGAAATCGAACCTGGGTTTCCATTGAGTAAAAACGGATTATTCCGTTGATCCTGTATTTCGCATAGCACTACGCCAACCGCTCCTCGTGGACAGCTCAGTCTAACGGACGGAACGGTTAGATCTGACTGGCGTTTCCGGTCGACTCAAATTACGCGATTGTAGGGACCGGGATACTGGCAGTAACAAAGTACTGGCAGCAGGGGCGACTAAATGAAAGCTATTTTGGGGGCAGGGAACAAAGTGGTCGGCGAGTTTTCCATTTGCGGCAGTGTATGCTTACTTCACATGTTATCTCTTGGTCGTAGGAGGTCATAAAGTCCCGGGCATGCTTCTTGCTTGACCTTGCACCCTGTCTGTCTTACTCCAGAAGATAATCAAAATGAATCCTAGTCAGCCAGAACCTATTGCGATTGTTGGAAGCGGGTGTCGTTTCCCCGGGGGGTCTTTATCGCCCTCAAAATTGTGGCAATTGCTCCGAGAGCCTCGAGATCTGAGGAAAGAAATCCCCGACGACCGATTCAGCGTCAAGAGTTACTATCACCCGGATAAATTTCATCATGGCATGACCAATACTACCCAATCATATTTGCTGGACGACATCCGAAAGTTCGACCCTCAGTTTTTCAACATCCAGCCTGCCGAAGCGGACGCAATCGATCCGCAGCAGCGACTGCTGTTGGAGACCGTGTATGAGAGTATGGAATCGGCCGGTATGACGTTGGAAGGGCTTCAGGGCACTCAGACAGCCGTCTTTGTAGGCATGATGGACTGTGAATACTCCGACGTTCTTACGGGTGACCTGGAGTGTATACCGACCTACACCGCCACTGGAACCGCTAGGAGCATTAATTCCAATCGAATTTCGTATTTTTTCGACTGGCACGGACCTTCCATGACAATCGACACGGCCTGTTCATCCAGTATGATGGCGATTCAGTTAGCGGCACAAGCACTTCGCAGCGGCGATGCGCCGGTTGCTGTCGCAGCCGGTTCCAGCTTGATCATTACTCCAAGTAAGTCTTTCGCGGGAAGGGAGAGTCCAAAGCTAATCTCAAGGTAGATAACTACCTAATATTAAGCAATCTCAGCATGAATTCTGCGGACAGCCAATCCAAAATGTGGGACGCCGATGCCGACGGTTATGCCCGTGGTGAGGGTGTCGGAGTGGTTATTCTCAAAATTCTCAGCCAGGCGCTGAAAGACGGAGATCACATTGAGTGTGTTATTCGAGAGATATGTATCAACCAGGACGGTCGTACGCAGGGTATCACGATTCCAAACGAGCTGGCTCAGGCTGCCTTAATTCGTCAGACCTACCAACGTGCAGGGCTAGATCCCACGAACCCAGCCGATCGCCCCCAATACTTCGAAGCCCATGGCACTGGGACCCCTGCAGGCGACCCCAGAGAAGCTGAGGCAATATCACGGTCGTTCTTCCCCGACGGCTGCGGTGCCTCGCCAGAGGAAACGATGTATGTCGGCTCGATCAAAACGGTCATCGGCCATACCGAGGGTGCTGCTGGAATTGCTGGTATCCTCAAGGCTTCACTGGCGCTGCAAAATGGCTATATTCCACCAAACCGTCTATTCAACCGTCTCAGTCCTAAAGTCGCCCCGTTTACTCAGCATTTGCGAGTCCCTACTTCTCTTATTCCATGGCCCCAAGTTACCAATGGAGGAGTAAGAAGGGCCAGTGTAAACAGTTTCGGTAAGTCACTTCTTCACCTGGGCAGCCATACGAAATGCCGATGCTAATATCTACATAGGGTTTGGAGGATCGAACGGCCATGCCATCTTAGAGAGCTTTGAACCACAATCGACCTTCATTTCCCCTCCTGTAACAAACCAGGTGTTAGTGACTCCATTTGTCTTCTCTGCTGCATCGGAGCGCACCCTCGCCGCAGTTCTCAGGAATTACGCGCAACATTTGAAGACATTAGATCATGTCAACTTGCGCTCGCTTGCTTATACCCTCCATTCCCGTCGATCCGCATTGCCATTCCGTACTGCAATATGGGCCACCAGTCTCCAGGATCTACTCTCGAAGATTGACGGACAGTTGAATGATTTCGCCACCAAAAAGACCCCCTCGCTAGGGGTGCGTGGACTGAGCAAGCCAAATCGGAAAATACTCGGCGTATTTACGGGACAGGGGGCGCAATGGGCAGGGATGGGCAAGCAGCTTCTGGAGCGCGTTCCATGTGCCCGCCAGATCATCGCCGAGCTAGACGCATCTCTTGCAAGTCTTCCCGTGAAGCATCGGCCGTCGTGGACGCTGCTTGAACTGCTCTTAAACGAATCAGGGACATCCGCGATAGGGGAAGCGGCCATCTCACAGCCCATCTGCACCGCTGTTCAGGTCCTACTGGTCCGCCTCCTGCGCCTGGCAGGAGTGCAGTTCGAGGCCGTCGTAGGCCACTCTTCCGGGGAGATCGCGGCGGCGTATGCTGCAGGTTTTTTGTCAGCCTCAGATTCCGTTCGAATTGCATACTATCGAGGCTTTGGGGCTGGGGTTGCCGGTGGGCAGAACCAAGAAAAAGGTGCTATGCTCGCAGTTGGTGCCTCCTTCGAAGAGGTCACAGACCTGTGTCAGCTAGATGGCATGAGAGGTCGCATTGCGGTGGCGGCATGTAACTCACCGTGGAGTGTGACATTGTCGGGAGACATCGACGCCATCGAAAGCGCAAAGTCAGTCCTTGACAGTGATGGAAAGTTTACCCGCATGCTCCGAGTCGATACTGCCTATCATTCTCATCATATGATTCCGTGTGCCAGGCCGTATATGGAGTTTCTTCAGAGATGTGGGATCAAGGCTACCATCCCTGGCCCGACGGCGCCATCGTGGTACTCGAGCGTAAATCCAAGCAATGAGCCTATACACTTCACAGACAGCTTGGCCGCAGAGTACTGGAGTGACAACATGGTCCAGCCTGTTCTCTTCGCACAAGCAGTCGAAACAGTGCTTACATCATCCGGTCCTTTTGATCTAGCACTAGAGATCGGCCCCCATCCTGCCCTCCAAGGGCCGTTTAATCAAACCATGGCAGAGGTGTCCAGGGGCAAGATCCCTTACTCAGGGTCTTTGAAGCGCGGCAGTGATGATATTGAAGCTTTTGCGAATTCCTTGGGCTTCATCTGGACATGTCTTGGACCCGCCGCCATAGACCTCAACGCCTATGAGCAGAGCCTGTTCCCCCATGACGAGCACGCCCTCTATATTAAAGACTTGCCTAGCTATCCCTGGAACCACGAGCGGTCGTATTGGTTTGAGTCAAGGATCATGCGAGCTCAGCGCGAACGGAAAAGACCGGTGCACCCACTTCTCGGAATTCAAGGGACCGATAACACTGAGAGCGAGATGAAATGGCGAAATTTTCTTAAGGTAAATGAGCTTCCTTGGCTCAAGAATCACCAGATCCAAGGACAAGCTGTTTTTCCAGCTGCAGGCTACGCCTGTATGGCATGGGAGGCAACCATGGAACTATCGATAGACCGTGCGATTAGGCTGTTTGAAATTCATGATTTGGTTATTGGCCGGTCTATCCTCTTCGACCAAAGCCTTGTTGGGGAAGAAGTGATCTTCGCACTCTCCAACATCGAGAGGGACAATCAGGATGCAGGTCTTCTTCGGGCGGACTTCTCATGTCATTCGTGCTTGAGCCATGAGAGTACCCAGTTGGTTGAAAATGCTCGCGGGAGTATCACTGTCTCATATGGTAAACCGATGGCAGACACTCTTCCTGCGGAAGCCCCCGAGGTTCCGAATCTAGTCGACGTCGATAGTGAATATCTTTATGAATCACTCACAGATCTGGGCTACGGATATACCGGTCCGTTCAAGATGATCGAGTCGTTGAGGAGGAAGAGAAACCATGCCAGGGGTCTTCTGCAGAGAGAGCCGACGAATCTCCTTATCCACCCAGCTTTTGTTGATGGTGGTTTGCAGGCGCTGCTTGCAGCCATGAGCTATCCGGGCGACGGTGCCTTCTGGTCTCTTCATATTCCAGTCGGTGTGCGCAATATCCGACTCAATCCATACTTTTGCTATCTTTCTCATGATGAAATGCCTGCATTTGAGTTCGATGCAATTCTGTCGGACTCCGAGTCTTTCGGTAATAATGGCAATACTCAGATCTATCCCCGGGGGAGCTCAAGCGCCCTACTGCAGATAGAGGGTGTCAACGTGGTTCCATTTGCACCTGCAACCGCTAATGACGATCGCAACATCTTTTCGGAAGTTGTATTTGATCGGCTGACTCTAGATGGTGAATGGATATCTGGGGGACACGTTGCCTCATCTGAAGTGTATAGCCTTGCGTACCTGTTGGAGCGAGTCGCGCACTATTATCTACGCCAGCTCCATGAGAGCGTCACTCCGCAAGAGAGAGATCAAGCTGAGTTTCCTCACCAACGCATGTTAGCATTTGCAGAGCATATTGTGACATCTGTTGCGTCCGGTCAACATCCTTGGGCAAAGCAAGAGTGGACTCAAGATACCAAATCTGATATATTGAAGGCCAGTGAAGGGTGAGAAGCTCCGAGGGTATGTAACATTTTTAATGTCGCTAACGCTGTCAAGGTACGCACACCTAATTGATATTCGCATAATGAGCTCTATCGGGGAGAACATGCTTTCGGTGGTGCGAGGGGAATCGACATTCCTTCAGCACCTGGTTCATGATAATATGCTGGAAGAGTTCTACCGGCATTCCTTAGGCTTTCCAGTGGTGAATAAGTGGCTCGCTCGCATGGTTAAGCAGCTCGTCCACCAGTACCCAGCGATGAAGATCCTGGAGATCGGTAAGATGGGCATTATCCCTTCTAGATTGAATTGAGTAGCTGACTGAGGAAAAAAAAAAAAGGTCCTGGCACCGGTGGAGCGACTAAGTTGATTGTTGAGACCACCGGGCGCAAGTTCTTTTCCTACACGTATGCTAGCGTCTCCCCCGCGTACTTCGATCCCGCGAAGCAGGACTTCAGCCAGTTTGCCAGCAATATGGAATACAAAACCCTAGACCTGGAGAAGGACATGTCTGAGCAGGGCTATTCCGAGGGCGAGCTTGACCTGATCATTGCGTCCAACGTGCTCCACGGCACCAAGAATCTCGAACAAACTCTGCGTCGGGTTAGGGGGCTCCTTCGCCCAGGAGGGCACCTGTTGATGCTCGAGATCACCAACACGGGCCCAATGCGATATGGCCTTCTGATGGGTGGTCTTCCCGGATGGTGGGCCGGCCATAATGACGGCCGCCAAATGGCACCTATAGTTGATCCGGTTCAGTGGCATTCATTGCTGCAAAAATCAGGGTTTTCGGGGATTGAGGCTATTACTCCAGCGTCGGATGTTCTCCCCTATCCGATGTCGATCATGGCGGCGCAAGCAGATGACTATCGAATCCAGTTTCTCCGCGATCCATCTTTTGAGCCAAATCCTCAAGTCAACCAAGGTGAATTGCTAATTCTAGGAGCGCAAAGCCTGTTCACCACTAAGTTGGCACAAAGGATCTCCAGAATCCTAGCCAACAGATTCGCTGAGATCACGATCTTGAGAAAGATGGAGCATCTGGACAGGCCAAGATTTCGTATCCCACGGAATGTCATCAACCTGTGTGACCTAGATGAGCCGACATTCTTGCGCATGAGCCAGGAGAAATTGGGCTCATTGAAGCTCCTGGTGAGTAGTGCGAAGAATATCCTGTGGGTTACTCATGGTAGCCAGGGGAAGGAGCCATATAACAACATGAGCATTGGATTCGCGCGATCTCTGAGATATGAAATTCCCGACATGCGACTCCAGGTGCTAGATACCGACGATGTCAATCATCTAGACGCACAGTATGTCTCTGACTTGGTACTTAAAATAAGCGCTATAGACAGTTGGGCGCAGCTCGGGGAGATGGATGATGTCCTTTGCGTAACTGAGCCCGAGATTTATCTGAAAGAAGGCTCAGCATACATTCCTCGCGTCATCCAGGATCGAGTGCGCAACGATCGATACAATTCCAAGCAGCGATCACTGGAAAAGCAGGTGGATCCAACTCTACAGTCAGTTTTTCTAGATGTGAGAGGGGATTCCTACGTGTTGCGTGAGATGTCTTCGCACTCGACTTCCACAGCAATATCAGACGATTTTGTGAGAGTCAGGGTGGCCACATCAACTTCACACGCTATCAGGGCAGCATCATCTGAAGCAGCCTTCATCGCGTACGGTACAGTTGAAGCAACCTCGCAGTCTGTCGTTGTATTCAGTGATAAGAATGCATCAGTTATTGAAGTTCCCAAGAAAAATGTCGTTCGCTGTGAATGGGACGTTGCCAAGCAGCCTGCATTCTTACAGGCGACCATTTTTGAACTCATGGGCGACAACATACTCTCTCTATGTCCGCCTAAAGGAGATGTTCTTCTCTACCAGCCGCCAGAATCTATTTTGATCATCTTACAGTGTCGAGCAGCCGAAACAGGTCGCCGCGTGTTCGAACTTACACACGGCCCAAGGAAGTCTACATCGACCGTCTCCATCCATTTGCGTGCTTTGGAAAGCCACATTCGAGGCGTTCTTCCAAAGAACATTTCGGTCTTTGTCAACTTTTCGGTCGACGCACCCCACATTGACTTTTCACGACGCGTAATGTCCGGCTTGGCTGTTGGATGCAGAATAATAGGGTTCAACGCGTTATATCAACAAGCAGCAACTTCGATGCCTGATTATGCTATGCAGAAGTTTCACTTGGCCTTGGAAGGGGCCGCTGAGCACGCCGCCGACAAACTCCAGCGCATGCAATTTCCTTCATTCGACGCAGTCACTGTCCATGAAGTTATGAAAAGTAGGCCAGCAAGCAACAAACACTACGTCATTGACTGGACATGTAATTCGCATGTTAGCGCTCAAATCGAATCTGCAAGCACACAAGTAAAACTCAACCCAGCAAGGTCCTACCTTCTTATAGGTCTCACAGCAGACTTGGGCCAAGCTGTATGTGAGTGGATGATCAACCATGGAGCTCGAAACGTTATTTTGCTCAGTCGCAACCCACGTGTGGACCAGAAATGGCTCGAGTTGCAGGCAGACAAGGGTGCAACGGTCGCTGTGTATTCTGCGTAAGGATCCACATCACAACGGATTGAGAAACTGCTAACCATGGCTGGCAGAGACGTGAGTGATCGACAAAGCATCCGCAAAGCCCACCGCAAAATGACCGAGTCCCTTCCTGCAATCGCGGGAGTCGTCAACGCAGCAATGGTCCTCCAAGACTCGATCTTTTCCAACACGAATCTTGACATGCTCCGGGCGGTGATGGCCCCGAAGGTCGATGGCAGTCGCTACGTTGATGAACTCTTTTCCGATCCCAGTCTGGATTTCTTTATCCTCTTTTCCTCGGTTGCTTGGGCCCTTGGGAACGGTGGCCAGACCAGTTATGCGGCCGCCAATGGGTACCTTGTCAGCCTGGCGGCACAGCGAAGAAATCGGGGCTTGCCGGCATCAGTGATTGATCTTGGCCCGGTCCTGGGTCTGGGATATATTACGCGGTCCAGTCAAATGACTGCTCAAATGGCTGCCGCCCTGATCAATGCTACAGGGACCTACCCAATTTCCGAGTACGACCTTCTCGAGCACTTTGCAGAGGCTGTCCTGGCCAGTCCAGTGGGATCAACTGCAGCCCACGAAATTATCTCCGGGATTCGCGAGGTTGAGCCTTTGAACGATGGGGTAGCTTGGATCAGCAACCCACAGCTTTCGCATTTCGTGGTCGACAAGACCAACGTCAAGGCGAACAAAGCAGACAAACGGGTGATGCCGATCAAAGACCAGTTGCGAGAGGCGCGCACTCTTCCAGTGCTCCGACAAATCATTCAAGGTAAGTAAAACCCTCATTCATCATGTGCCCATGCATGTTGCTTATGATTCATGAAGATGGGTTTACGGCCCGCCTTCTCATCCTGCTGCAGCTTTCTGCCGATAACATGAACGAGGAGGTGCCTCTAGTAGAGCTTGGAGTGGACTCTCTGGTGGCAGTCGAAGTGCGCTCATGGTTTCTGAAAAACGTGAATATAGATCTTCCTGTGTTGAAGATTTTGGGTGGATCGAGCCTCCTGGATATTGTTGAAATTGCACTCCAGCAGGCAGCCTCAAAGCTGCTTCCAGAAACCGGCAATATTGAAGGCAACCCCGAAGATGGCACAGCATCCGGCAAGCTGAATCTGCCGCCTCAAGCGAAAGCTATCACAGACCGTTCGACAGAAGGCTCGTCTTCCTCCCCAGTTACCGATCAGGCGGAGCAGTTCTCGTCGGATAAAGAAGACACCAGAATGACCCCACCGTCAACCCCCCATTCCGAGCAGTCGGATATCCATTTTGAGCCTGTTATTGAGAGAACGGAGAGAATGTCTTTCACGCAGAGAAGATTTTGGTTCATGCGCCACCATCTAACTGACCGAACCACGCACAATGTTACATTCGCTCATCATCTGGAGGGAATCTTTAATGCTGCGGAATTTGCCGAGGCCTTGACTGCTTTAGGAGACAAGCACGAAGGCCTTCGTACATGTTTCTTTGATGGCGGGTCAGAAGACTGTGAACCGATGCAAGCAGTTATGACTCGATCTCGTTTGCACCTTGAGCACCGCCATATTGAAACAGCCGATGCCATCGACGAGGAGTTCAAGAAACTTGTGAGCCACGTCTACGATTTGGAGAAGGGTGACATCATGAAGTTCATCCTGCTAACCCATAACCCCATGTCACATTTTCTGGTAATCGGATACCATCATATTGCCATGGATGGTATTGGGTTTGCGTGTTTCATGCAAGAATTGATGCATATCCGCACGACAGCTTCCTCTCCAGTGCCGTATCAGTATATTGACTATTCCATCAAACAACGAGAGGCTTATGAGCATGGGGAAATGTCGCGTGAGATCGAATTCTGGAGGAAAGAGATTTCCAACCCGCCGCCGCCGTTGCCACTTCTCCCCTTCGCGAGTACGAAGCATCGACGCGCCCTCAGGGAGTATTCCCATTTCACGAGCAGCTTCCGGTTATCATCCATCGTCGCGGCCAGGATCAAACGCCAGTGCCGCACGTATCAAGCTACCAGCTTTCATTTCTACCTGGCCGTCTTGGAAACAATGCTGTTCAAGATGCTAGACTTGGACGAGCTATGCATCGGCATTTCGGATTCGAATCGTACCGATGGAGATATGCTGCGCACGATGGGTGCATTTATGAACCCCTTGCCCTTGCTGTTTAGGCGCCAAACGAGTCAGTCCTTCGGGGACGTAGTCAGAACTACACGTCAAAAGGTGTATTCCGCCATGGAGCACGCCAGGCTTCCTTACGATGTACTCCTCGATGAACTGAAAACTCCGCGCTCTGCCGACTACTCTCCCCTTTTTCAGGTATTTCTTGAATTCCGGCACGGCGTGCAGGAGCAGCTGGAGTTGGGGAGCTGCCTGGCGCAGCGGACACACTGGGATTACGGAAATACTTCGAATGATATCATGCTAGACATTACCGAGAACACCAGTGGCGAGGCGGTGGTTTCAATTAGCACTCAGAGAAGCCTGTACTCGCAGGAAGACACAGACTTGCTTGGCCGAGTCTTCCAAAACCTCTTGGATACTTTTACGAACAATCCAGCTCAGCGAGCAGGGCATCCTCCTCTGTTTGCCGAGGTGGACATTGATAAAGCCATCAAGGCTGGTCTTGGTAGGAAACCGCTCCCCTAACCCAGCATTTCACCATCGTACTTACTTGAGAATCTAGGTCCACAAGTGCAACCCACCTGGCCTACCAATCTTGCGGATTGTATTTATGTCAGTCTGGCTGCAAACCCCGACAAGATAGCTTTGAAGGGCGATTGCGGTTTAGAAATCACATATCGTGAACTTTCCGATCGTGCCAATCGCATTGCATCCGCAGTGAAGAACGCAAGCATCCAGCAGGGGTCAAGGATTGCTATTCTTTTGGAACCCGGCCCAGACCAAGTGGCCTCGATGATAGCGATGTTTCGACTGGGGTCGATATACGTACCTCTAGACATCCGGCAACCAGCACCCAGAATAAAGGTCCTTCTCGAAGACTGCAAACCAGGCGCTGTTATATATCACGCCGCCACACTCGAGCTGGCAGGCTCATTGTCGCCCTCTGACACAACAAAACTGCTTGATCTCACGGTAGTGGATACGGAACCGACACCCTCATACTCTGCTCCCATCGGCGGAGACTCTCCGGCCATGGTCCTTTATACCAGCGGCTCGACGGGAACGCCGAAAGGGATTGTTATATCCCACGGTAACATCTGTGACCATCTTGAAAGCATGAGCCAGACCTTGGGCTTCGGCGCAGAGGTGATGTTGCATCAGAGCGCTCCTACTTTTGATCTCGCCGTCAGTCAAGTTCTGATGACACTCTGCCATGGTGGCACGTTGGTCATCGTACCCCAATCAAAGCGTGGCGACGTCCACGAGATAACGAAAATCATGGCCGAGCAGCATGTGACTTCCACGGTTGCCACGCCATCGGAATATTCTGCATGGCTTCGGTACGGCCGTGCGAATCTTCAATCCTGTACGACCTGGACCGTGGCTCTCAGCGGGGGTGAACAATTGACGTCAAGATTAATTCAAGAGTTTGACGCCATGCATACCTGCTCCCCTCGGGTTGTCAATATTTATGGACCTGCGGAGATCACCATTTCAAGCAACTGTCTGACAGTTCCTCGAACTGAAACCAATGCCTCGGTTCCAGTCGGGCCCACCCTGCCCAATTACTCCGTCTATATTGTGGATTCGAACATGAAGCCTCTGCCCATGGAAATGTCCGGAGAAATCTGCATTGGCGGGTGCGGAGTCACGCTCGGCTATCTGAATAATGACAGTCTTACCCAGAAGAAATACGTCACTAATCCATTCGCCCCCGAGACCCACCGGGCTAGAGGATGGACCCGAATGGTGCGAACTGGTGATTGCGGGCGGCTTTCCCATGACGGTTCGCTGGTCTTTGAGGGCCGGATGGGTGCCGACTCGTTCAATAAACTAAACGGAATTCGAGTAGAATTGGAAGACGTTGAGAGTGTGATTCTTCGGCAAGCGGACGGAGGTATAGACCAGGTCATCGTGTCCGTGCGTGGCGATCCTCAGTTCCTGGTTGCTCATGTCGTGCTGTCTCCCAGCCTCGCCGATATCGACCAGGAAGAATTCCTCGAGGACTTGCGCTCCAACCTCCCATTGCCGCTGTACATGTGCCCGGCCAGAATCGTTCCCGTGACCGAGTTCCCCCTCAGCGCGCACTCGAAGGCGGACCGTCTCGCCATCGCCAGGCTACCTCTGCCAGCAACTGCTCTCCGAAGGCCTAGTGTGGGATTTGAACTGACCGACCTTCAAAAGGAGCTAAAGGAACTGTGGGATGAAATTCTTCCCCAAGAACTCGTCGGCATCTCCGCTGCGCACTCAGATCTCAATTTCTTTCAGGCCGGAGGAAACTCCTTTCTCTTGCTGAAAATACAAGCCTTGGTCAGAAAGCGCTTTTCAGTCACACTGACCGTGGCTGACCTTTACGAGGCCAGTACTCTTGGGCGTATGGCCGCCAGAATCAAGCCCGGTGAGAAAAGGCGGGAGATTGGCCGAGAAGATAGTTGAAGTTATGTTCGGTAAGCCGGCGCTCGGTGTTGACGGGGTCTTGGTTTCCCGTGACCAAAATCATCCTCTGTCGGATATCCACGATCAGAGTCGAATCCGACTCACGACGGACGATATTGGGGGCATTTGGGACGCGAAGCCCAGGATTTCCTCGGACACAACACTGACAGCGCCTGGATGGATCGGCGCCGTTAAAGCCGCCGGTTTGCCGGTCGGGATCGAGCCCGATTGGTGAACCGGGGGTAGTTCAGTCCAATCTGGCTGCGAGGTACAAGGGGTCTCGGTGAGAAGAGTTGATGGCAAGAGTTGATGGGAAAAATCGAGAAGAGTCGAGAAGAGTCAAGGATCCCAAAACGATCCCGTGACGCGCCACGCGTCGGGATCGCTGCCTGAGGTATATATTCCCCGGTCGGCACGGGCGGATTCTTGGCTTCCCTCGATTTGTATTTAACCATTTCCAAGTGACAAATCCAATGCTTTCTATGATATCCATAGGTAAAAGAGAGAATCCTTGTTTGATCTCTAGCAATGGGATTATGTAGCGGTGTTATGGTCGAGCGAGCATCTTGAGTGCTCCTCAGAAAGTACCTATATATCTTGGGCAGTGACTAGTTAGCACAAGTCCAGACATCGAGGAGAAGCCACGACCTGATACTGAATATTAGGAAGCTCTTACCCCTTCACTTCTCATGGTTCGTATTTAAAACCGAGAAGATGGTCATTGGATTTTCACCTAGTCTAGTGCCACCTACATGTAGCATGTTGAAAAGCATGTTGGAATGTAGTCATACTCCCACAGCAACATCCTACATGTTTGACATGTTTGCATGGAATTTGCTGTGTTTGTCCCATTTGCTCTATTTGCTTTCAATATCATATTCGGCTTAGTGCAATTCGGTCCAGGATGGGGCAGTTGCTGCCTAAACCCTCAAGCAGTGCAAGGCTTTCCTGCCAGGATGACGGCAGGGATAGTCTCCAGGGATCTACCTGGGAACGAGACTTGCATGGTTCTGCAACGATTAGGTTAAATATGGATGAAGGCGTCACACAGGCATGATCTTTGGCTTGGTCCTGTCTCGCGCGGACTCCAGCGCGTGTTACAGCGTCCTCAGCCCCGGGAATGGAGGGTGCCATACCTATGTCTAGCCGATGCTGCATTGGAAACACACCTGACTGCGCCTCGAATCGCTGCAAGAGCTAGGCGACACGGTTAAATTAAAGTTGATTTGCAATGACGGCACAATGAAAGCATGACCCAAACGATTTCAGCATCAGCTGAATACAGAACTCTATGCCTCTCGGAACATTATAGCTTTTCTCAGGCCTGAATGGCCTTCGTAGCCGGGAAAATTAAAGGATTGAAGGCTTCCCATATGATAAGCCGATACGAACTTGTTGTCGCGATTATCCGGGGGAATTTGCACCAGTTGAAAAAGCGAGGAGAATGTGCACATTCGTGTCGACAAGGATGGAGCAGATAGCCTATACCTGATCCCTCAAATTCCGACCACACGCGATCTTAATGCTTTTCGATCTGAAAGCAACGGGGATTTTCTTTCCATCAACTGCTTCAACGTTTCAATGTTTATCTTTGAAAACCTTCCGGCAGTATATGCTGTGGAAGCTGGCATGCATGTAATCTATTCTTGAAGGCGAGTTTAGACGGAACAAAGTCGGACAATTATCGTAGCACAAAGGTAGAAAGTAGTCCCTTAACCTATAGGTGAAGAAGGAATAAATACTGGCACCCATGGCCGACAGTCTGGCGGGTTTGCCAACTTTACCACGTCAGGTTACTCCTTTGAAACTGACACTGTTGTTTTCAAAGACGTGATTTCACCAGAAGATGGAGACTAAGCACGATAGAACAAGGAAAGGTAAATGAGCTCCAGAATCCCTGTCCCCCCATACTACAAGCTTTGAATTCATGTTCAGATGATTAACTAGGGTTTGACCGGACAAGGCCAAGGACGACTACCAATATTGGCCGGCCCTAAAACGATCATATAATCAAACCTATGAAGATTTGGACTTGTCAAAGTCCCCTTGCAAGCTTCGTTGGCCCATAGCTTGGGTTGCGGGAGACGATTTACAGATCGCCTAAGCCTATGATTCAATCTACGGAAGAATGCTACCCAAAGATCATCATGAAGAATCTACGTCGCGTGGGGATCGACTGGAGACCATGATTAACTCATTCTGTGTTAAGGTGAAAGCACAGGCCCTGACCTTATCAACAGACAAGTAAACTGGAGCGATGGCGGACTACGAGTTCCTCGGAACTATCCAGAGAAACGCAGGGAGGTGACCTGTGACTGTTCACTCTGGGAGGAAAAGAAATTGAACTAGCAGATGATGACTGAGTCACCTCGCCGAGATCAATATCTAAAAGTGTGCTGAATCGATGTTCATCAGCTGATGGCCGCTAAATCTCGCAACAGAGACATATCCTTTGCCTCGTTGGTCTTCATTCACCCGGAACGCTGGTCTAGCCGAGAAAGGGAAGTTTGAACGAGTTCTTTCAGGGCGCAGGCGACAGGTCGTATGAGGGAAGCGATTGGTATCCTGATACTTGGTGATGTCGATGGTAACGCGGGCAGGATTGCTAACTATACATCTCAGGCCGCAATTTTTGAGACATGCAGCTTCTTCTGATTGCGTCACAGAGAAATAACTACATCACTCACGGAGACATGTATAGCAGGGCTGATGCAGCCGGAGGCATTAAACCGAAGGAACTATACAGAGAAACGGTGATAGGCCAAAGCTCCGAGCGAAGTAAACGCCGATTGGAAGTCGTGAAGGTATCGGGCTGGGAACCGGCAAGAGTACTTCTCGAATACGACGTCGGCTTTGGGCTTTTAGGCGTGGGACCAGCCCAACACGAGAATTAGATGCTGAGCTGCGCCCCACTGCGTCCATATGTCAGATACCGTGGTCTTCCTACGGCAGTGTACTCCCACTGTATCGAGGGATATCAGAGCACTGGAATGAAGGGCCTTTCGAACCAACAAGGCTGAGAGGACTGCTGACGGGATGCCTGGTTGCTCAGTACGTGTGCCTCTCGTCTCTGAGTCGGTGAAGACACTCCCTCGTCGGACCGTCGGTGGATACGAAGAGTCGCATTCAGGTATCGAACAAGCGACAGAGCGGGTCAGTCGGCGAATATCGATCTAAACAGGGTCTAGGCATCTAATGGATTCGGTTCGACATCCCCGCCATACTGTCGGAGTATGACTGTAGGTGCATCGCCAAGGAACCTTCGACTGCTGGAAAGCCTCAGCGGACACGAACTCCAGACATCGAGATCCTTGGTTCACGAGTGCATGTCTCAGAGGAAAAGAGTGGCTCCATCTACCGTGAACAAGGCTTTCCAACGTTTGACCTGGCAGCGCGGGCTCGGGGCTGAGTATAGATGCTTACGGCAGTGAGAGGCCATAGAATGGCAGTTCCAAGAATAGCCAGACCAGAGAGGCCGCAGGAGGCCTTAACATGAATCCCGCTCTCTCAAGGATAGCAGGAAAGTGTATAAATACAGCCCATTCCCTACTCGTTGAAATATACTCCCCATCAGCTTCATCGCAGCATTCCTAAGCCTACAAGCAATCCCAACTAGATTCTCAAATCTCCAATCCATATTCAATTTCTGTTCTCGCAAGACTCCCTCCAATTCCAGCTTCAGCAATCAAAATGAAGTCCTTCACTGCTATCGTCTGCTCCCTCCTTGCGGCCTCCGTCTATGCTGCTCCGGTTGAAGAGCTCCAAGGACAGCAGGTGACCGTCTCTCTGGCCAACGACCAGTCTGGAGCCAATGCCGGCGTCCAGTTTGCGGCCGACGGCGCCGACAGGAGCATTTTCGCTCTCTACGGCGGCACCGCTGTGGGTGCCGGAGGCATTGTCCTGGCCTCGTCAGCGCAGCTCACGGCCTTCCCTCAGACCATCAACTGCGTCATCAAGAACAATGGCGTTACCATTGCCACCTTGACCGCCCAGAAGACCTTCGCCGACCTCGACGGCAACCCGAACGTGGTCGTTCCCGTGAACCTGAACAGGGGCATCATCAACTGCCGTGCTTAGTGGAAGGCAGCTCGCTCTGTGATACGACCATGATAAGAGGTGGGCGGCATGGTGAAAGTGGTCAAATGAGGACGCAAGACTGGGGGAACGACTGGTGGGGACGTGTGATTGTTAGGTCAAGTGACAGCTAGATTTTGTGCAGTGCTCAGTTCATGGCTTTAGTTAATGGAGACCTTATTTTCTCGATGAGTTCGCTTCCAGCTTTGGATCGTAAACCCTGTCAAGTAGAATGATGTCAAAGTGAATTGACGACAGTTTGGCCCCACGTCAAGCGTAGGTTTGGCATGAGTGCTAAGCTCGACCGGCGCTATTAATAGAGCTCCAAGGGACAAAGAAATCAAACAAAGAAATGACATCCCCGCAAAAATGGGTCGAGGTCGGAGAGTTCAGAATTCGCCGCCATGTGGGTTGCGTTGCTTCATGCAGGTGGCTCTCTGGACCATCGCCAGCAGAGGCATCGACGTCTCACCTTCAGTCATCTCGGATTTTAGGCACCCGACACGGGATTTTAAGGAGATTAGGCTGCCTCTTGGATTCTTAGATGCTCGGATGCTTAGATATTTGGATGTTTGTAAACGAAGCGGGACGCATTACGGACTGGTCGCGTCGCAAAGCGGATGAAGCATCCGCGGGGAAGAAAGAATTGCCACTCTTTGATCCATTGGTGAGTTCTCTGAACCAAACATCTAAGCGTCTGGAGGGATTGGTTACCACTCTGCGGGCGCCGATGATACGAGCCGCCCATGGCTTAAGAGTCACACCGACGTGGTGCCCGTATTCTGAGGTGGCAAAGCCCCATCAGTGATGAGGAGAGTGGGATGTGTGACTGAGATGTGTGACTGAGAGAGAGTGGGATGTTGAATGAGGGAGTGAGGGAGTGAGTGTGTTGTCTGTGGTGTGTGGTGGTGATAGGCAAGAAGCAAAGAGGCCGAAGGAGAGAGAAAGAGAGAGAGAAATTTTGATGCCTGGCATTTCTGGCAGCAACAGTCCCGATCGGGCGGGCCTGACATGTGACCGACCTCGTGATCTGGTGGCCTGAGGCCCTTAATGGCCGGACGGATTACTAATATTATGATTAACTAGTTAGTTAACTAACTTCTTTTGTGCAAGATTGAGTGCCCCCGAGAACCACTGTTCCTTCCGCCATCAATAAACATTAAAGGGCCCATCGGATGTACGGTCCTACTAGGGCCGGCTCCAGTAACCGCAGCCCTATCTCCTACGACCAAATCCCTCGTCGACTCTACCTCCCCTGAGCCGATTCCTGCCCGTCCGCCTCGCCATTCGCCATCGGTTCCTCTTTCGAGGCCTCCGGATTGGACTGGGTCACCTTGCCGAACAGCGCCTCTATGAATGCGTCCGACTCGGCGGCATAGTGGCAGCGCGTGCGGATCGCGGCGCCGTACCGATAGAACAGGAAGGGCATGGGCACGCAGACGAGGGCGAGGAAGGCGGGGATGGACGAGGCCCAATGGATGCCCAGATCGCGATACATATAGTTGGTGAACAACGGGAAGACGGCGCCGAAGACAGAACGCAGCGCGGCATTGGCGGCCAGCACTGAGGCCGCATAGATGGTATAGGCGTCGATCAGGTAGTTCAGCACGGGCAGGAAGACCATAACCATGCCGTAGCCGAAGGGCACTCCTGCGGCGATGGAGGCCATATAATGGATCGACGGCGAGTTCGTCCAGGCAAACCAGAAAAGCCCGGCTGGCAGGGCGATGGCGGCGATAAAGGAGTCCGGCAGGCGCGCCTCTGGAGGAACCCGCCCCTGGATCGCGAGGCACTTCGCTTTATAGCGGAAGTACAGGGGGAAGGTGGCCACCACGGCAAATAAAATGCCTACCAGGATACCGACGAAGGCAAGGCTGCCAATGCCTTCGCTCCAACCGCGGCCCCGCTGATAGACGATCGGATAGGCGGCAAATAGCAAGTACAGACTGAATGTCAGTGGTTCGTTAGCTAATGCCGAGCAGACCGAAGAGGGCATGAGGGTGATACATACATGCCGTAAATAATGGACAGGTAGATGGACAGCAGCAGCACGATGGGCTCGCGGATCAGCAGTACCCAGGGTCGCGAGAGGGCAGTCTTCAGCACGGCCCCGGCCGATTTCTTGCCGTGGTCCACGTCGACCTTGCTGCGATAGACCTGGCCCGTGAGGGAGGACAGGCGCGCGGCGCGCTTGCGCAGCAGGACGGGGGCGTAGGTTTCGGGCAGCGCCAAGATGATGATGATCCAGAGCAAGCCAGAGAAGGCGGCCAGCAGACCCTCAACCCAGCGCCATCCGGCTGCCTCGGACAGGAAGCCACCGATTATGGGTCCCAAGGTCGGTCCGAGGAAGGGCGCAGCGCAGTACAAGCCGCTGGCCAGTCCGCGACTCATGGCCGGAAAACAGTCGGCAATCACGCCGCCGGCGACGGCGAACGGGGCCGAACCCAGGCAGCCGGCGAAAAAGCGCAGGATGATAAGGGTCCATATATTCTGCGAGCCCGCGGATCCGGCCGTGAACGCGGTAAGGCCGAAGGAACTGGCGATTAAGATATATCGACGCCCGTAAATCTCACTGAGAGGCGCCCAGACCAAGGGACCGACGGCAAACCCGATCACGAACAGCGAGATACCTAGGATGGCTATCTCCTCGCTCACGCGAAAGTCGGTAACCACCTCGACGATGCCACCGGTGTAGGCGGATGAGACAAGGGCGACGGCCATAGTGGCGATGCCCACGAGGAAGGTGATCAGCCATCTGGCCACGGCCGAGTACTTCATGGGATCGCGCGGATCGTTCTCTAGCCAATTGACCACGAAGGGATTCTCGTCGGTGCCCGCGCCCTGGTAGGCATGATCGATCACCGGTTGCGTAACGGCGCCTTGATCGAAGATCAGTCGCCAAAGCGGCGTCTTGGTCGACTGCGGTGCTTCGCCTGCCATATTGGCAATGAAACGTGCTTCTGTAGTCAATTACCTTTGGAGCGGACAAGAGAACAACCCAGAGATCATGGAGGGATGGCGACAATCGAACGGCATAAGAATGTTCGATGCGCCTCGCCGATCCTTGGTTGTACACCGGAGGTATCACCATATCGTTGGGATTTGGAAGAAAATTTCGATCTTAGCTCGGTTCATCCCCGAGAGTTGGTCCCTGCTCCGTCCGGTGTAGTTTCTCTCCGTACACCATAATAAATAATAATCACGGGCTGGAAATCTCATCGCGCACTACGAACGTCGATCCTCACCGAGCAACCACCATGGTCAAGGCCACGGACTGCAGCCGAGATCGACCGCAGCAGACATGACTCGCTGTCACTAGATTGTGCTCACGATTATTGGTAGATGCGCCATGGACTCATGGCCCGTCGCGGCAGGGAATTAGAAGCCCTATGCGAGCCCTAATTGTTCGCCACCGGTGGAGCCGCGGATCAGGCGCTAAAAGTGTCTTAAAACCTCAAGATAGGCCTTGACCCACCCGAACTAAGAGAGCAAGATCCCCCTGATCGGATCCTGCTGGAATCTGGTTCCTCAGGGTCCGAGTGTCGCCAATGAAATATCACGCCAGGGCGATGACCGTCTCAACCCAATCTGAGATCTGGAAAAGGCCTCCGCCGAGGTGACATCATGGCCAGTCCAGCTCTCAGGCTCTCACTCTCAGGCGCACCGCCAATGTCGATCGCCGCTCCACGGCCCTCAGGAAGCCGTGGAATCGCCAATGAAGGCAGGCATTACCGCTGCCCAAAGGAGAAAGTGGGAAATGACATGGCTCTTTCGCTACGCAGGCCCAGTGACGTGTCGTAAGTGACACGGGTTGCTCGCAGACACTGTTGAAAAAGGACGGAAGTACTTTCAATCTGCAGAACGACCCGAGATCCAACACGCAGAGCATCAAGCACGTCCGTGTCTGAGGGCTTTTGTCTCACCGCAGCGAGGTCCCCTCTCTTCCAGTGCCATCTTCTCCCAGACTGCCATGCGTTCGAAGTTGGCTGCCGCCGTGGCAGCGTCCCTGGTTTTATATGTTCGTTGTCAGACTCTATTCCCCGTTGATACTACCCTTTTCGGCCTGATATACTCACCGGTTTTGGTCCCAGGGCATTGCCACAGTTATCTATCGCCTCTTCTTCCACCCTTTCTCAAAATACCCCGGACCTCGATTGGCGGCCATCTCGAACTGGTATACAACATTCTTCGCCTGGCGCGGGGATCTGCACCTCCGCGTACGCGACTGGCATGATAAATATGGTAAGAGTCAATTGGCGGGCGCGATGAGGCTGGATTCTAACACCGAAAATGCGCAGGCGATGTCATGCGATTCGGACCCAACTCAGTCAGCTTCAATACCCACACCGGCATGGGCGCCATCTACGGCGCGCGCGCCAACGTGCACAAGGCTGAGGGATACGCCTCAATGAGCGCCAGCCGGCGCACGCCTAACACTATCACCGCCGTGGATAAGACAGTGCACGGCTTTAAACGGCGCATTATGGGCCAGGTCTTCTCCGATCCGGGGCTACGATCCGTTCAGGACCGCTTCCTGATGAACATCCGCGATTTCACCGCTCTGCTGTGCTACGACGATCGACCCGGCAGCCTCGACAGCGGCAAAAATGGCAGTGGTTGGGGGCCAACGAAAGATATGGGTCGAATCTGCGGCTGGCTAGCATTCGACATCATCAGTGGCCTCTGCTATGATGAGGATTTCCGGATGCTGCACTCGCCCGACCTACGATGGTTTCCGTCCGTCATCCAGAAGATCGGGCAGCGGACCATGATGGTACGAGCATGAGCATTCGGCACCCCACCTCCCATTCTCCCTTGCTAGCAGAGCTAACCGTGAGTGTAGTGCATCGTGCAGCCCAAGGTGTTTGACTGGAAGATCGACCGCGTGTTGATGGCGACACAATATCGCGAGATGCTAGAGGCCGGCAGTTGGATTCGGCGGCGCGCAGAGACTCGGGCGCGCCTGGGCAACGACATCGAGCAGATAGACCTATTCTACAAGATGATGAACGCGACGGATCCGAAGACAGGCCAGAACTTTACCCAGAAAGATTTGTGGCTGGAGTCGATGCTTTTGCTGACGGCCGGTATGTCCTCCGTTTCACCCTCTGGTCATTCCTCGATATGAAACTGATACCATGACTTCGAAGGCTCTGACACCACTTCAACGGCCATGAGTGCCGTTTTTTTCTATCTAACTCACCATCCGGACGTGAGGGCGCGACTGACGCAGGAAGTACGTACCACCTTCACCAACGAGGAGGAGATTTGCATGGGGCCGCAACTGAACGGTTGCGAGTTTTTGCGCGCCTGCGTGAATGAGACCATGCGACTCATCCCATCAGTCTCGGGAGTGCCGCCTCGCAAGGTGCAGGCCGGTGGCATCACTGTGGACGGCGAGTATATCCCGGCCGGAATGACGGTGGGCACCTCCATCTACACCATTCAGCGCAATCCGCACTACTTCTTTGCACCGGACGAATTTCATCCAGAGCGCTGGATTATAGACGTGGATGCCGGCATCGACGAGGAAAGCGTTAAGACGGTCTGGCAAGCCTTCTGTCCTTTTGGCATCGGCTCACGCTCCTGTGTTGGCTGGCGTCTGGCCTGGGTCGAGCTTAATGTTGCCGTAGCGCGTACTATCTTTCTCTACGACATGCGCCTGGCACCTGATGCGCCCTGCTGCGGCGGGAGTCTGGCCGGATGTGGCTACGGCTTCAAGGGGTGGATGACCTCTGCCGTTGAAGGGCCATTGGCGCAGTTCCGGCCGCGTCAGTCTTGACAGAATGTTACATTTCTTATTATCTATAGCCGATGGCAGCAGTTCATTGCAAAGCATTTCTTTCTTACCTCCCTGGCGCGGCGGAGAGCCTCGCAGTTATGAGGCTGGGGTGACCAGCGAATAGCTTTGAGTCCGTGTTTATACTACATAGCGAGTGAAGTTTGGAGTTTGAAAAAGGAGGAAAGTTCGTTCCGTTTCTTTACCCTTCTATACCAATGTAAGCCTCTTCTTATTTAACCGGGACCCATGGCTCGCAAGGAAGCACCTGTAGATGCTGCGCCAGCACGGATCGCTTGCAGTTCAAAGCATCCAACGCTTTCCCCTTTTCTCCCGACACGGTATTGACGTGGACCCAGATCTCGTCAAAAGCGTTCATCTCCAACTTCAAGCTCCCGCACACGAGTTGCAGATCCAAGTCGACCTGTAGCGTTTGGCTGGCGACGCCGTGGAACACCCCCAGGTGGATGCCGCACACCTCGATCTCGACCATCGTTTCGAAGGTCAGGATGTCGACCCAGCCGCTCACCTGAAAGTCATTGTTAGCTCAGTTCAACTGCATGGAATAGTCTGAAGGCTAGGGGCCGGCAGTACAGTAAAGGCATCGATCGCGACATGGATAAGACGGCGAGTTTTGTCGCGCATTAGGGAGACCCTCGAGATGATTCCATCGCCCCGGAGTTCTTGTACGCTATACCTGCCTGGCTGCTGGTGGTTCGTGGCGAGAAGAAGACCTGTCGGCGATATTTAGTGTTTGATCGTTGCCCAGGCCATGTGCCATTGTCAATATACCGCTGTGATGCATCGTGAAAAACAATCAGATGATATGTGGAACAAATGGGGGAATACTGGCATACTCCTTTGAAGTCGGGCCAGCCCCTTCTTTATACTGTTCTCAGAAGATCTGGCTGCCCACGTCCTTGCAGTACCAAGAAGTCGGTGAAAGGCGCGAACCTATGGGCAGCGTCGTGTTTACCTCCCTATGGCTGCCGGTGGCCCCAGCCAACGCAAGGGACGCGTTACTTGAAGATGGGACTTCCAGCGCACTGACGTACACTGAATTTCCACCTTCAAAGAGCGACGAAAGCCGGGAGATGTCAAGGCTAACCACTGACGTAATTTCTGGTATGCGTCGTATTACTTGGAAAGTAAGGGGCGCCTCATGAGTCATTGTAGTAGACGCCTCCCCCGGGGAAGGGCTTTTTAATCTTCTCCTTGATTTATACATGGACTCGTTATCTCATTAAACGTTAAGATCTGTATTCACAGATACAGGGTTGTTACAAAATCATCCGCCTCCGACAAGCATGAGTCCGTCGGAGTTGAGACAGTAACTCTGTCCGGGCCTGTGAAGCCACAAATGTGCCTAAATTCTTGTATTATACTTTAATATATGTTAGGATACCTCGGCTTGCGTGGCGATGTGGCGATACATGTTGTACCTGTGGGTACTGTTAGCATTCCAATTGCCCTCACCAGGCCCAAGGGGTCGTCCCCTCACGTACTCGTTGACTTCTTCAATGGTCAGCTTTTGGCCTTCATGAGCTACCTTGTATAAGCTGTTGTTTCGTTGGCTAGAGAAACCAATCCGCTCCGACAGGTTCTCGCGAGCTCGGGCGCTGGCTTCCTGCACGCGACTGGCGCGAGGTTTGCGAATCTTTTCGTATATGTGCAAGCCGGCGGCCACATCTGCGGTGAATGTGTAACGTGGGCCAAAGATAATACCGAGAGCCGCAGCATCTTCGATGGCTTGACATGCCCCCTGACTCTGATCGGGAAGCATAGGATGGGCCGCATCACCTAGAAGGCCGGTACGACCATGGTACCATTTTGGATAAGGACTGTGAACATACAAACGCCAGGGCTTGATATCACAAGCATGGGTCAACAAGGCGCGCAAAGTCGGATCCAAATTGGGGAAAGGCGCCAGCAACTGGTCGCGCGAGCCCGAAAAATTCCAACCCTCCTCAGCCGTCTCCCCCGTCGGTTTGGCAAAGAAGGTGTAGAAGGAATGCATCTCACCGTCGCGACAGGCTGAGAAGATGATCTTGCCCGGACCGTGGCCGCCCCAGTACTCCAGAGCGTTGTTCACCGAGAGGTCCGGTAAGCCCAGCCGACGGACTTCCGCCGTGGGAATCACGCAGTGATATGAGGTCGAGGTGGCTGTCTTTCGTTCTGGAAGAATCCCCAGGGACTTTCGCACGGCGGACTGCATGACCGACCATTCATAAGCTTGTCAGGGCTTCTCACAGAGACCCGGGTCGAGGGACTTACGCCGACACCGTCTGCGCCAATCACCAAGTCATGGCGGGCGCGGATTGCATTCTGGAATGTCACGGTTCCTGTTTCATGGTCCACGGTCTCGCAGGCATGGTTTACCTTTAGCACGGCTGGCTGTCCTTCCCCGGGTCCGGTAGCAGATTGCATCAGCATGGCGTGCATGTCGACCCGGTAGAAGTTGTAATAAGGCTGGTGTCCGTCAGACAAGTCCGTCCTCGCCGGGTGAAAAGGAAAAGCAACTCACGTATCTCCATCTCACGGCATAGTCTGATAGGTCGTAGACATCCTGCACCTCCCCCGTTTCGAGGTCGTGTCGAATTAACTTCTCGACTACAATCGGCCGACCAACGCTAATATCCACCTTCCAGTCTTCCAGCCACCGCGTGCCGTTTGCACCGCAACTGATGGAGGCTCCCACTTCACCAGCGTAGTCCGCTCGTTCATAGATTGTTACGGCATGGCCTGCCCGTCGCAGCGATGTAGCGGCAGCCAGCCCCCCTGGATAAGACAATTAACGGCGCTCAAGGGTGACTGTCCTGGATCTTACCGATTCCTCCCCCAATCACGGCAACATCCAGCGGCTGCCATTCAACAGAGCGCGATCCCATTCTGTAAAAGGAGATTTCATAAATATTTTCCAAAGTACCTAGAAAGCAGCTTGGCGGAGGATGGGGATTCGTTTAGGCGAAAGACCGGACTCAAAAGATATAATAACGCCAAGTTAATCGTGGCCACTTAATGTATCTGTCCTGTCGGGCGAGGTGACGTACAAGATTATGGCTACGCAATCTGACCCATCCGGTGCGAACAGGCTGTGCAGCATTCCAGACGCGATGGATGCATGGCCGAGGATTATTAATAGCCATAACCTGCGCGCTCACGCCTTATCCTTGTGCTTGATCGCCCAGCGAGGGATAGTAGACGGCCTGAAAATTGATGTGCCACCGCCATCTCCCACCAGACGTCACCATGGCACGAAATATGCAAGGAGTTTAGTTCCGGAGGTCAAATCGAAGGTCTGACCACCATCAAGCTAGTCTGCGAACAGGGATGGGGAATTCTCACGAGGCGAGAGGTCCGATCTATTGATGGCCACATATGTGAGATGCGCAGAAATCACCGCAAGCGAAGGTGATACATGCCTGACAGTGGGTCATTTAGATGACTATAACAGGATCCTGTCATGCAAAGGTCCACTGGATTGTAACTGGAATGAGACAGATGCTAGGGAGGCAAGCGAATGGTGACCTGAAGTGTGGTCGTTACCTGAGTGAGTGACAATTAAAACATCGAACCCGAGCCTATCAGTGCAAGGACATGATGCAAGGGACCCAGTGGTCCCTAATTATTGAACTGCATGTTTGATATATCGAAGCATGGCTTGGCATCTTGTGGACACTGGGATTCACTGGATCCATCGAGATCACTCGTGCGCCGCCATGGCTTAATAGCCCCCCTTGTCCCAACGTTACAGGGGATCCTCAAATAACCAAATCTACGTACGCGAAGCGTTTGCGATATCTATATACTCCAAATAAACAAGATGACTGAACAGGAGGGGACCGTGCACGCGGTATTATTTCCGTCTTTGAACGACCAGGACGAGAAGGATATAACCGTTCATAGTCATGAGATCAAAGCGTCTCCGGCGCTGCTAAAAAGAATGCCCAGCTATTGCAAGTCTCAGGGAATCCCTGTAGCGCGATTAGTTCAGGCTGCTTGGGCGATCGTCGTTCAGCAATATGCCGAAACCGAATATGTTCTGATGAGCGCCGAGGAGGTTAGGAAGAGGTATGTCCCCAGATGATTCTAATATGCTGGAATGGGCATTAACTCCAGAAACCCAAGTGAATCATCTACTAAGCTCCAAGGACAACAAGACTTCGCTTGACCCGACACAAGCACGAGGCACAGTTTTTAATACAGCTGTGATGATAGCGGGGTATCAGGTGACAGAGGGGGAGGCCCAGTGGCTGGATGTCATAATGAAAGGAGAACAGGCATGCGATGCGGGTTAGCAATACGGCGAGCGAAGAGACTGAAGAGTACTTAGGGTCAGGGTGGCTACGATGTGTTGGTCCTACTGGACGTCGACTGCTCAGGGCCGCTCAGGCGTTTACAACTGGTTCACACGCGACGAATGTATTCGGACCGCCAGGCAAGCAACGTTGCCACCACATTGTGCCAGGTTATACACGAGCTGTTAGAAAATCCGGATGGAAGGATAGATGAACTGCAGCTCCTTAGCCCTTAGAATCTGGACGACGTGCATAAGTGAAACGACAAACCGTGGAACGGGACCGGAGAGGGCCGAATGGTTGCCGATGTGATCCGACAACATGCCACGGAACGACCCCAGGCCACGGCAATTGACGCTTGGGACGGACAAGTCTCGTACGAAGAGTTAAATCGGTTGACCGCACGACTTGGTCAGCGTCTGTACGACGCCGGCGTCGGACCGGGCGTGATGGTCCCTGTCTGCTTCCCACGCTCTTTATGGGCCATAGTGGCCGAAGGGGCTGTGTTGCAGGTTGGAGGCGCTTTCGTCCCCATTGATCCGGCCCATCCCACCGAGCGAATGAATCAAATCGTCAATCAAACGAAGGCTCGCTTGGCTCTGACCGCTCCGTCATTTGCAGATCATATGGCAACATTGGTAGACCAAGTGATCATGGTCTCTTTAAGTCTGAAAGAGGATCGAGCGGACGAGGACCTGCCTTGCCTAGATATTGACCTCGATAGTCCGGCGTACATACTGTTCACTTCGGGGAGCACCGGACAGCCCAAGGGATGCGTCGTACCCCATTGTGCGCTAGGCAATGTACTCGCGCAGGCAAGTGCCTTGCACCTGCGATCCGATAGCAGGGCATTTCAGTTTACATCTTACAGCTTTGGTGTGTCGCTCATTGAGATTTATTGTGTGCTGACTGCGAGTGGCACCATCTGCATCCCATCAGACACGAACCGGTTGAATCGACTGACGGAGACCATGCAAATGATGCGTATCAGTTGGGCGTACCTAACCACGGCTACGGCTGCGTCGTTGCACGCCGGTGAGGAGCTAGCGGAACTGCAGACACCCATCCTGACCGGAGAGCCGTTAGACCCGAGACAGGTCCGGAAGTGGGCTCCGCGGGTGCAGCTCTGGCAGGGATTTGGATGTACCGAATGTGCTGGTGTCTTCGCCCACGGCCAATCTGTGGCTGGGTTAATCCCGCGAATCCCAACCGCCTGGCGCCCGTGGGTGCCGTGGCTGAGCTGGTGATCGAAGGTCCAGCTTTGGCGCAAAGATATCCCCACAGTCCCGCACAAACAGCTGCAGCATTCCTGCAACAGTTGGACTGGTGGGAAGCCTTACGCCCAGGTGTGCCATGTCGATTGTACCGAACGGGGGATCTGGTGCAGTACGAATCGGACGGAAGCCTTCGCTATATTACGCGTCGGGACACGCAAGTCAAAGTGCGAGGAATGTGCGTGGAGCTGGGTGAGATCGAATATCAAATTCGACGGACGGCAGAACTGGACCGTGTGGTTGCAGAGGCTGCGGTCCCGGCCGATGGGCATGAGGGACCGGCGCTGGTGGCATTTCTGCACTCCAGCACCATGCCAACCCTAGGAGGCAAAAGGATGCTGGATGGGTCGCTGCTGTGGACTGACGACCCTAAGGGATTTGTGTTGCTGGCAGGTAGGATCAGGCAGTCATTGTGCCAGCTGTTACCGGACTATATGTGGCCGAGCATCTATTGTCCACAAGAATTTTCGATGAGCCGATGTGGGTCATGTGGCCCACCGTGCTGAATAATCAACTTTTTCGTCTCAGGCAGCCGAATATCGACCTCAGCCCACCTGGAACCTGGCACGTTCCAGGGAGCTCAATTACAATCTCATTGGATTTGAAACATAGTCGGAGATCAACCGGTTCAATCTATACCGTCGTAGGCATCATCTCCACATTCTGGGTCAGAATTGGTAGCGTATGATGGAGCAGAATCGATTCTTCCCCATTGGCGTGAGCATTCTAGGTTGCTGCGTCGATATATGTTCACCTTTGACGATACTATATCAGTTGTGACATCCTGAGTATGCAGCAACGCCCTATACCAGGAGGCAGGGTGTTTGTATGGTTTGCACTGTTTGACTCGTTTGTCCCACGCAGTGGGTTTGTTTAGGTACTGCTTCATGCAGTAAATCGCTGTTTTCTTCTTTCCTCAACCTAGTGTTTTGTAACTAGCCTACAATAAAGATCATTTCTTCATCCCTGAGGTTGTCACATCAGTAATTCGTTGACTATATCGGCAAATCGTCAAGATTACTTAATTAGGACCAGCTATTTAAAAATATGACGATTTTACTCCACATAGTCACAATATATATCTAATGTGAAGGGCTCAACCTAGGATCGTCATATTCAATTGATCTGACCTAGGTAGCTGTCACGGGCTTGGCAGTGAGTAGGTGCGCTTCTACCCGCCAAGACCGTTTAGTAGGACAGTTACCAACTGAGCTACTAAAAAGACCAGAATACCAAGTCGAAGACTTGGTATGCGCATCGCTCTATATAGTAGGCCTTGGTCAGTTCGTCACAGTAGCTGACAACGAGAATATCAAACATGAAAAAGAAAGGAAAAGAGAGTAAGAAATAATCTTACAATACAACAGTTGCAAGAAACTAGCAGATAATGCGACACGCTCGTCACATCCAATCAATTTTCGCTTAAATTTATGACGAGTAGGCATTATCTATCAGCATTAATATTCTTATTGTATCTGCCTTTATAGAGTGTCGCCGGATCTCTTGCAAATCTCTTCCCTTATTGAATAACGTAATCGGACACCGAACCGCCGTGACACCGAACCGCCGGTGGTCCGCCGCCTGCCTCACCGCTTCAAATCGCTAGAATTCAACCTTTTATAATTCATTCA